GTAGAGACGGGGTTTCACCATATTGACCAGCATGGTCTCGATCTCTTGACCTCGTGATCCACCCGCCTCGGCCTCCCAAAGTGCTGGGATTACAGGCTTGAGCCACCGCGCCCGGCCCAGAGAATTATCTTAATTGAATTGTTTGATATACGTAAAGCAGTTCTCTGATTTATAGAGTTGTTGGTAGCAAATTTCTGCGTATTTCTAATTGAAGACTGATTTTTAAAAATTTGTTTTCTCTAAGTTACCTCAAGTAGTACAACATTGTCCTCTTGTACACTGATTTTAGCCCATTTAAAAAAACACCATATCTTCTTAGAAGCCTCCAATAGGAAACAAAAACACTGTATCTATAACTACTATTTATAATTGACTCTTCTGAATTTTCCTTTTGAGAGAAGCGGAACAGATTTATTTTCTAGAGTCTTATCAGATTGGATCTATAATTTTCTATAGCAAATTTTTTCATTTTGAGTCTGTTCCAGATAGTAGATTAAATTTAAAAGTGTGGTTGGCAGCCTTTTATGCATAGTATCATAAATAATTTCAATTGTTTCTCAACTGAGAACATATTAAAAATTTTATATTTATGGAGACAATGAGGTTTTATTTCTTTAGTTGCTTTGATAAAAGGAAATGAAAGGGCGAGGCATGGGGGCTCACACCTGTAATCCCAGCACTTTGAGAGGCTGAGGTGAGTGGATCACCTGGGGTCAGGAGTTTGAGACTAGCCTGGCCAACATGGTAAAACCCCATCTCTACTAAAAATACAAAAATTAGCTGGGTGTGGTGGTGGGTGCCTGTAATCCCAGCTACTTGGGAGGCTGATGCAGGAGAATGCGGAGATTGCAGTGAGCCAAGATCACACCACTGCACTCCAGCCCAGGTTACAGAGATGCTGTCTTAAAAAAAAAGAAAAAAAAAAAGGACTGCAAGGTATGAGGGAAAAAAGCCAGTGAGACCCTTCTAGACATGACCTGTGTGTTGAATAATTACACCATTTTTTCTTCTTTGCTCTGTTGTCATTCCAAAGACCCTGTCACCCATGGGAGCTACTGCCTTTGTGCCCACAGGAGTGGCTACCCTGAAAGTCCTTCCTGTCCCCTCCCATGTCCTCTTACTCCCTCCGAAGGTCTTGCCTCACTGTGAGGAGGGCTTCCCTCTGCCTCCTTGATAAGCCACTGAGAACTTTGTCCCTGCCACCATTCTTTCTATTTCCCTGCCTTCTCTCTACTGGTAGTCTTTGGAGCCACACTGCAGGAGCGTAGCTGGGAGGAGGGCATTGGGCTGTGGTTGTCTGGTTTGCAGCAGGAAGAACTGTGTTCCTCTTCATCTTAGTTAAAACTTACAACTCAGGAGGCTCCTTAGAGAAATACTTTGTAAAGGGTGGTTGGTTTCTATCCTGTTACATACCTTTTGTTGGTTGATCTGGGAATCTAATCATCCTTTTTCAAATGGATTAAATAACATTTATTTTCTGGCAGTTTGGTCTCGCTCCCTCTTATTCTTAAAATATCAATGGGGAAAATGTACATAGTCCACAGGTAACCTATAATTCATTCTATGTGCGTAGCTCATAAGTAACATATAACCTAACTAGGTGGTCTCTTTAAGAAGCAGCATTTTGGATCAGTGTCAGCTTAATTTATCTTTCAGTTCCAGTTACCATATAACAGGTGTTTTTCTCCCCACCAGGCCGATTTTAACACCAACTTTTCTGGGGTGGATGAACATGCACCGAGAAGCTCTGAGGACTTTGTGAACCTTTCTGGTATTTACCACTCTAATGAGGAGTATTTCAAGAAATTAGAAGAGTTGAAGGCTGCCCACATAGAAACTATGGCAAAATTAGAGAAAATGTACCAGGATAAATTAAATTTAAAGGAAGTTCAGCCATTGGTCATCAGGGAAGACTCTCTTAGTGACTCTTCCAGGTAAGTTTGTAACTCAGTGTTATTTGTGGACTGTAAAATAAAACGTATACTTAAAAGGACAGAACAAAGTTATTTCAGAATATTGTCTCTTAAATATCTGTTTGTACTCTTAATGCTGTATGGAAGTAGGATTTTGTTCAAAATGTTTAATGGCTTATCAGCTTACTAGGTGACCTTTTGGTTTGAGGGTCATTTAATGGCCATTTGGTCTTTTATCTCTGACCTACCTATAGCACTGAGGGCATGTATCAAAATACTTAGTCTGGGCCATTCAAATGATAAAAAAAAAACAAAAAACAAAAAACAACAAAACTTAATCTGAGCCATTTTAAATGATAAACATAAAAGTTTAATTTTAAAAGCTCTTTATAATATATGGATTAACACGAGCTCATTAATCATTTAGTACAAAGAGTTCTGGACTAAGAGACATGAATCTGATATATGTTTTCAAAATAATCTGCAATTTCAAGACCCATTTCTGCTGCGAAGTTACCTGCTCTGAGACTTACACATCTAGTCAGCCAGCGATGCTTGCATGTCTTCTGTGTGCCGGATTATGCCTGGGCACTAAGGAGTCAAAAACAAGATGCCCTCAAGGAGCTTAGAGGCTAGCTGAGAATCAAAAATTACATTACAGCATGATGTAACAGAGTGTTACAGAGGAAGAAGTAGTTGATCATGCCAGGCTTTCGGAGGGATGCAGGCCAGACTTTTCCACTAAAGTGTCACATCTGAGTTCAGTTTTGGAGGAGGAATAAGTAGTGGCCTTCTAGGCAGCAGAAACCGTATATGCACAGGCAAGATGGCGTAAGAAATCATAGTGTGTGTGAGGAACTTCACAGGACTGCATATAAATACAGAATGGGGACTAGGGTAGCCAGTGGAGGGGTAAGACTGAAAAGATAGTAATAGCCAGTCTTGAAGGGTTTGTAATCTAGGCTTGACTTCATAGCAGTGAGGAATTACCAAAAAGTTTCAAGCAGGGGAGTGACATGATCAGATACATGCTTCAGGACAGTGACTCTGGAAAGCTTGAGGAGAACTTAATAGAGGTCAGACACAAGGAGCCTCTGCCATCTCAGGTTCCTTTTCTGTAAGATGAAGGAGTCAAACTAGATAATTTATGGGTATCTCCCAGCTCTATTCCAAATAAAAGTGATGATTTTTACAAGCCCTGCCAGCTTCTCTCTTCTGATTATACCCTGATCTTAGAAAATGGGTAATTCTTGGCCGAGTGCAGTGGATCACACTTGTAATTCCAGCACTTTGGGAGGCAACGTAGGCGGATCACGAGATCAGGAGATTGAGACCATCCTGGCTAGCATGGTGAAACCCTGTCTCTACTAAAAATACAAAAAATTAGCTGGGCATGTTGGGCACACCTGTAGTCCCAACTACTCGGGAGGTGAGGCAAGAGAATCACTTGAATCTGGGAGGCGGTGGTTGCGGTGAGCTGAGACCACACTATTGCACTCCAGCCTGGGTGACAGAGCCAGACTCCATTTGGGGGGGGGAAGAAATTATGTCACTCTTAATTTTTATATTTGGTCACACACAACTGAAAGTATAACCTAGTTATTCTTCTCATTTAGATCTGTATCAGAAAAGAACTCCTATCACCCTGTCTCATTAATGACATCATTTTCAGAGCCTGATTTAGGCCAGTCTTCCTCCTTGTATGTGTCCTCCTCTGAAGAGGAGTTGCCCAACCTAGAAAAAAAGTATCCTAAGAAAGACAGAATGATGACCTATGCTAAGGAGCTCATCAACAACATGTGGACAGATTTTTGTGTTGAAGATTATATTCGCTGTAGACATACTGGCTTCCAAGCAGCTGAAAAAAGGAAGAAACGAAAAGAATGGGTGCCCACGATAACAGTACCGAAGCCTTTTCAAATGATGATAAGAGAACAGAAGAAAAAAGAAGAGTTCATGAAATCTAAATCAGATATCGAAATGGCACATAAACTGCTCAAAAAGCAAGAAGAGGATCCAGAGTGTAAGAAGAAATTCCGAGCCAATCCAGTTCCTGCATTTGTCCTTTTCCCCCTTTACCATGATTTAATCAAGCAAAAAGAAGAACAGAGAAGGTCTCTGAAGGAGAAAAGCAAAGAAGCTCTTTTGGCCTCACAAAAGCCATTTAAATTTATAGCAAGGGAGGAACAGAAGCGAGCAGCCCAGGAAAAGCAGCTGAGAGACTTTTTTAAGTCTAAAAAGAAAACAAATCGATTTAAAGCCAGACCCATTCCTCGATCTACTTATGGTTCAACTACCAAGGACAAGTTAAAAGAAGAAGAGCTCTATCGAAACCTTAGGATGCAGCTGAGAGCCCAGGAGCGTTTACAGAACTCATCTTCTCTGCCTTCTAGGTCAGCTTGCGGATGCAGGAATCCCAGGTGTCCTGAACAGGCTGTAAAGTTGAAGTGTAAACACAAGGCTAGGTGCCGGACTCCTGATTTTGAGGCCCTTCCTGAGAGATATCAGAAACACCTCTCAGAGCATGAGTCTCCAAAACTCTTAACGGTGTGTAAACCATTTGATCTTCATTCATCTCCACATGCATCTACTAAAAGAGAAAAAATTTTGGCAGACATCAAAGCAGATGAAGAAAATTTAAAAGAAACTCGTTGGCCTTATTTGTCTCCAAGGCATAAGTCACCAGTAAGATGTGCAGGTGTAAAGCCTGTGCCTTGTACCTGCAACCCTCCAGTGCCCACGGCATCTTCCAGAAAACGAGAACAAGCCATAAGGTAAGTAACTAAGACACAGTACTGAATGACTCATGGTTGCCAGATGAGTGTATGCAGCTCTATGGAATTTATGTTTGTGAATTTGAAAATACATAGAAATTATTATTGTATCTATAAGATATTTTATTATATAATATAGGATATATCATCAGACGGTATTCTAAGAAATGAATGTATTTTTCATTTTATAAATTTTGGGGGATTAGAAAATATTAGTCTTAAGATTTCTAGTTTTACAAGTCAGATCCTTTTCAAAAGGTTGCCTTTTTTCAAATTTTGAATTATCCCTTGTTAAATCTTTGCTAAACAACATTCTTATTGGCTTCAAGTGGATTAAGCCTTAGTTTGTTACCCTCAGGAGATCACTTGAGGAAAAGAAAATGTTGGAAGAAGAGAGAAATCGGATGCTAACTAAACAGAAGCAAAGAATGAAAGAATTGCAGAAACTCCTGACAACCCGGGCTAAGGCTTATGACTCACATCAAAGTTTAGCTCAGATATCTAAATACAGAGTAAAATATCTCAGGTATCATGAAAAAATCTTGAACCTCCAGACCACTGGTTTTCAAACTTTCTTTCTTTTTTTTTTTTTTTTTAATCAGTAGATAGCAAAATATGAGCAGATGCAAATGGCATTTGTATTTCAGTTTATGGATTTAAATTGCCATCAATTACTGATGTTTAGCACACACACACTCACCTCATGGTGAGAACCAACATATATACTCACCTTCATGGTGAGAACTGTGAAGCTATGTTGATGAATAAAAACATCATCTATTGTGGCCTTGGTTAATAGCTATAATTTTATACCAGTATCTGATCTTGGTTTTTATATTATTTTTGATTGCAGTACACAGATATATCAAAGAGCTTTGTTCTAAGGTTTGCATGAAGTCTGATAGCACAAATTAACACACTGATGTTAAACATCCATTATGTGATGTGTTCCTTAGCACATGTGTTAATGTTTAGTAGTATGTGTTGCATTTTGTTAGTTTCAATATAAAAATAAAGATATTCTTGCTTATAGCCATTACTGGAAATAAAAATTAAAAAAAAATAAAAATAAAAATAAAGGTATTCACAGAATCCCTAGAACCCCTTTACTAGAATTATGCAGTACGAAGTTTGAAAACCAGTGTTCCAGATGTTGCACATAAAAATGTTGATGTTTAAGTAGGAAAATATCTCCCCCAAAGCCAGGTAAGTAATATGATTTATTACTTTTTAGTCTGATTTATAAATATACATATGTGCTTTTAATTACAATGAGTATTCTTTTGTAATTTAGCATTAATCTATTGATGAAGGGAGCTTAATTTGATGAACTTGAGCATAACATTTCTTAGAAATAAATTACTTACCCTTAGGAAGTAAACTATTAGTAGCTTTTTCATTTTTTCTTTCCTTTTTTTTTTTTTTTTGAGTTTCGCTCTTGTTACCCAGTTTTTTTTTTTTTTTTTTTTTTTTTTTGAGACAGAGTCTCGCTCTGTCACCCAGGCTGGAGTGCGTGGCTGATCTCGGCTCGCTGCAACCTCTGCCTTCTGAATACAAGTGATTTTCCTGCCTCAGCCTCTGGAGTAGCTGGGATTATAGGTGTTCACCACCACATCCAGCTAATTTTTGTATTTTTAGTAGAGATGGGGTTTCGCCATGTTGTACAGGCTGGTCTTGAACACCTGACCTCAGGTGATACACCTGCCTCGGCCTCCCGAAGTGCTGGAATTACAAGCGTGAGCCACCAAGGCCAGGCCAATAGCTTTTTCATAACACTAACTTGTGTATAATTAAGTCTAATTGTCATTTAAAAGTATAATTATTTTCCCCAATCCATTAAATGTTACTATTTTGGTAGCAATTATATCTTACATAAAGAAAATACCATAGTTTAATTTATTATAGGATCTTGCCCAAACAGTGAGAACACTTATAGTAAATTTATGTATTTTGGTTCCTGTTTCTCTTTATGTTATATTCCTATGCTCTTTATTTCTCCCTTGATTTGCTCCCATTGAATTAACTTTGCCACTAACCTTTGGGAGATCTTATTTAGGGGAAAAAAATAACAGCAGAGGCTGGATGCCACGGCTCACATCTGTAATCCTAGCACCTTGGAAGTCCAAGGCAAGAAGATTGCTAGAAGCCAGGAGTTTGAGACCAGCCTGGTAAACACAATGAGACCCCCATCTCTACAAAAAATTTTTAAAAACTAGCCAGGTGTGGTAGCATGTGCCTGTAGTCCCACCTACTCGAGAGTCTGAGGTGAGAGGATCATTTGAGCCCAGGAAATCAAAGCTGCAGTGAGCCATGATTGAGCCACTGCACTCCAGCCTGGGCAACAGAGTGAGAACCTGTCTCAGAAATAATAGGCGAGAGGTGGTGGTTCTTGCCTATAATCTGAGCACTTTGAGAGGCCAAGACAGGTAGATCACCTGAGGTTAGTAGTTTGAGACCAGCCTGGCCAACATGGTGAAACCCTCATCTCTACTAAAAATACAAACTATTAGCCAGGTGTGGTGCTGCAGGCCTGTAATCCCAACTACTCGGGAGGCTGAGGCACAATCATTGCTTGAACCCAGGAAGTGGAGGTTGTAGTGAGCTGAGATCAAGCCACTGCCAGTCTGAGAAACAGAACGAGACTCCATCTCAAAACAAACAAATAAAAATAACAACAACAAAATAATAATAAAGAGCAAGGTCTTGTTTTCAAAAGAAATTCCTTACAGAGACAATAGCTAATTTGTTCCAAAATTTTCTTGGTTTTATATGCTTATAAATGAGACGAGGGCTTTCATTCATCTCTTCAGGTCAGTTTGAAGCCCTTTAATATATTTATGCCTTGAGGATTTTAGAAATCAAAGTGTCCAGACTGTTCCTAGAGCATAATATGTGTGATCTCAGAACCTAGGATTTTATTCTGCATTCCATGAGAATTAACCAGTATAGAAGAGGAATCAAGTAAACTGTGAACTGTGCTCATAATTTCTGATTTGTCAGCTAAGCTAAGCTAAATGTTACTTCTTTTTTTTTATTGACTTTGTACAAGTTAATAAGTTAAATGTTATATATGTAAGTTCTTATTTCTTAGATGATCTTTTAAAATTCCATTCCTTTTATTTAATTTTAGAAAGAGTGAAAAGGAAAGGATGAGAGCATACCGACGAGAACTAGAAGAAAGAGAAGAAAAGTTAAAAAAGAGGCCACTGCTATTTGAAAGAGTTGCTCAGGTTGTGTTTATTGGAATTTAAGAGCTATTGTTTGTTTTGTTTTGTTTTTTACAGCTTTAGCTCCTAAATTTACAGTCCATTTTTCTTCTGTGTTATATAACTGTCGAGATACATTATTGTTGTTTGTGTTGGCTTCATCACCTCAGCCAGTAAGTAATTTTGCTTAAATCTGAGCATTTAGCCAGGTGTGATGGTGTGCACCTTTAGTCCCAGCTATTGGGAGGCTGAGGTGGGCGGATTGCCTGTGCCTAAGAGTTTTAGTCCAACCTGGGCCATGTAGCAAGACCTCATCTCAAAAAAATAATCTGAACATTGAATCTTTTTGATGAAGCACATCAGCTTGATAACATGCCATTTAGTTTGTAAAATAATTTTGCAAGCTGTTTTTTAATGGCTGGTCTTTTCAGTACAAACTTGGTCAGATATTAAGATGAGGCTTCATTATATCACTTGGAGGTCTTTGAAGAATTAAAAAAATGAAACAAAATGGCAAATTGAATCAGAGTTATTTCTACCAATTTTTTTTTCTTTTTTTTTTAAGTGAGTCTGTAATTCAACCTTCTCTGCAATTACTAAAAGAACTTCCTTTCTATAGGGAAAATAAACTAGTCTTACGGACAGTGGACCCTCATTTTACTAAGTTTATGCCCAGTTTTACAATCTTTCCCTTCAGGGAGATTTGTCAATTTTAGATCATCTTATCCTTTATCCCATAGAGGAGGCATCTGAATGGGTGACATGGCTTAACAATTGACAGAATCACTGGAGGCTACAGGTGCCATGTTGTGAATTTGAAGCTGTTGTAATTGGACAGTAGATAATTGGAGAATTTACGAGTAACAGATGAGCATAGTTACAGAACTGTACTTGTCAGTGACTCATTGAGGACAGTGGACATGTATTGTGGGTGAATCTGCACATTACAGTCTCTCAAAGTTATGTAATCTTTTTGCTCACTGATTTAGATATAATTTTATATGATGCCTTTTGTTTTAAGGGATGGATTTTTTTAACATCTTCATTTCAGCTTTAGGGGGAAAAGCCATTTTAAGCTGTTCTACATTATAAGCATAAAGTGATTGGCTTTTGGCCCAAAGACATTACCTCCAGTTCTGAACTGCAAGTTTTTTGTTTTTGCTTTTTACACTGCTTCTGGGTTTTTCTTATTTTTTTTTCCTCTTTCAATTTTTATTTTAAATTCAAGGGGTACATGTGTAGGTTTGTTACAAGGATATGCCAGGCATGGTGGCTCATGCCTGTAATCCCAGCCAGCACTTTGGGAGGCCGAGGTGGGTGGATGACCTGAGGTAAGGGGTTCGAGACCAGCCTGGCCAACATGGTGAAACGTCATCTCTACTAAAAACACAAAAATTAGCCAGGTGTGGTGGCGTGCCCCTGTAATCCCAGCTACTCGGGAGGCTGAGGCAGGAGAACTGCTTGAACCTGGGAGGCGGAGGTTGCAGTGAGCTGAGATTCATTGCACTCCAGCCTGAGCAACAAGAGTGAAATTCCGTCTCAGAAGAAAAAAAGGATATATTGTGTGAGCTGGGGCTTGTGGTATGATTGAACTCATCACCCAGGTAGAGAGCATAGTACCCAGTAGGTGGTTTTTCAACCCTTGTCTTCCTCTCTCCCTTGTCTCTCTTCTGTTTCCAGTGTTTGTTGTTCCTAACTCTGTTTCCATGTGTACCCAATGTTTAGTTCCCACTTGTAAGTGAGAACATGTGGTGTTTGTTTTTCTGTTTCTGCTTTAATTCACTGCGGATAATGGCTTCCAGCTGCATCCATGTTGTTAGAAAAGGACATGATTTCATTCTTTTTTATGGCTGTGTAGTGTTTCATGGTGTATGTGTAATGTATTTTCTGTATCCAATCCACTGTTGATGGGCTGGGTTGATACCGTGTCTTTGCTGTTGTGAATAGCACCAGCACTTGTTATTGTCTGTCTGGATTTTTTTTTTTTTTTTAATTATTTTTGGAGACAGGGTCTCACTCTGTTGCCCAGGCCAGTGCAGTGGTACAGTCATAGCTCACTGTAAACCTGAACTCCTGGGCTCAAATAATCCTCCTGCCTCAGCATCCATAGTAGCTGGAACAAAGGCCCACGCCATCATGTCCAGCTAATTTTATTTTATTTAGCAACTGGGTCTCGCTGTATTGCCCAGGCTGGTCTTGAACTCCTGGCCTCAAGTGATCCTCCCACCGGTGTGAACTACTGCAGCTAGCTTTTGTCTGTCTTTTTATATAGCCTTCCTAGTGGGTACAAAGTGGTATTTTATTGTTCAGTAACATTCTTTCAACTGTTCTTTGATCTTTTTGATTATAGACTCTATCTACTAGCTTATTGATTTGGTAGGTGAGGATTTAGCTGTTTTACCATGTCCTTTGAAGCACACTTATCTTCTCTTTCCCCATCCTTCCATTTCCCAGTCAGCTCTATCACAGTTAGATCAGAATTCATTGTCATGACTTAGTGAAACAATGTTAGCAGCTGAGCCCTATAGTGTTATCATCACATTTCCTTTTAAAAAATGTTTTATTTCATTAGTAATTACTAATTTTGTTTTGTCCTCCCCACACTTTCCCTCATTCCCCCGACAATGTATGTATCATCATTATTATATATTAAACTTTTCTGTTAGCTCTCAAAAATCCCCCTCAAACAGTTAAACACATTGGTAATTCATCAGTTCCTTTCCTCCCCTGGATCCAGCACACACGTGTCCTGCTCCACATTGGAATGGTTTCTCTCTAGGCCAGCAGTCCTCAACCTTTTTGGCACCAGAGACTGGTTTCATGGAAGACCATTTTTCCACCAACTAGGGTTGCGTGAGGTGGGGTAGTGGGGTGGGGGAATGAATCATTTTAGGATGAAACTGTTCTCCCTCACATCAGGCATTAGAGTCTCATAAGGAGCATGCAATCTAGATCCCTTGCATAAGTAGTTCATGATAGGGTTCACGCTCCTATGAGAATCTAACGCTGTGGGAGGTGGAGCTCGGGTGGTAATGCTCACCCTCCCCCTGTTCACTTCCTGCTGTGCAGCCTGATTCCTAACAGGCCACAGGTACCTAGTTTATGGTAGGGACCCCTGCTCTAGGCCTGTGGCATAAGCGACATCTTGGGACCTTTTTCACTATTATACTGGGATTAGTTGGATATTAAACCTTCTGGATTAATCTGCATTTCTTGTATTTCTTTAAAAATCATTGTTATTTTGTTCTAGTTCTGGAAGATTTCCTCAAATTTATTTTCCAACCCTGTATTTTTAAGTTACCTAATGAAAAATAATGACATAATTTCCAGAATGCTTCTTATTTATTAAATATTCCTTTGGTATTTTTCATGACTGCAGTACCTTTTTTCTTTTCTTTTTTTTGAGACGGGGTCTTACTCTGTCCCAGTCCGGAGTGCAGTGGCATGATCTCAGTTCACTGCAACCTCAACCAACCTCTTGGGCTCAGGCAGTCTTCCCACCTCAGCCTTCCGGGTAGTTAGGACTACAGGCATATGCCACCATGCCAGGCTAATTTTTAAATTTTTTTGCAAAGACAGGGGTCTTACTATGTTGCCCATGCTGGTCTTAAGCTCCTGGGCTCAAGAAATCCTCTTTCCTTGGCCTTCCAAAGTACATACTGAGCATACTGGTGATATTGTCTCAGTTTCCTTCAAGTTCCTTTTTCTCTTTTTTAGCCTCTTGTCTTTCATATTAGAAGCTTTCCTCAATTATCTTCGGTTGTCTGTTTGCATTTAAGAGGGAGACTGTACACAGCTATTTGGAAGCTCTGTATATACACGTGGACTGGTTGCTAATGTTTTTTGAGAGGTTGCTGAAAGATAAGCGCTCAGCTAAGCATTTTACATGCATTATTTTAACTGATCTTTATATTGGTCCTTTGAGGTTCTTATTTCACAGATGAGAGGACATCTTGAGGCTTAGATGACACAACAAGAAGGAGAACCAAGATTCAAACCCAGATCTGGCTGTCTTCATGTGATTCTTTTATCATATTGTTTTCCTGCCTCCTTCTCAATAAATGCTTTTTGAATATCAGGAAATCCTTTGAGACCCTTAAAGTTGGATAGAAACAAGATAGACAAATGTAGTCATCCAAGACACACAATTGCAGTAAAAACAGATGTGTGTTGAGACAAAATTGTGAATATGATTGTTTTGGAGGTTGGGGGAAATCAGATTGATATATTCTTTTTTTCTATTAACCTCAATTCCAGGGAGCCAGGTGTAACCTGGAAATACTAAGATTTGTGTTAGTGACCTTTGAGGCATGTTCCAACAGGTCTAGAAAGAAAAAGGAAAGTAAATAAAACGTTAAAGGAATTATTATGGGTGATACTATAAAACAAGAAAGAATGAAGTATTATTTGGGAAGACCAATATTGAATACATACAGCAATGATTTATTATAGTGCTGTTTGTCTCAGAAATATCTTTTATATTAGAAAAATTAGGTCAGTGCCTCACACCCTGTAATCCCAACACTCTGGGAAACTGAGATGGGAGGATCATTTGAGGCCAAGAGTTGGAGACCAGTGTCTACTGTTCTCATTTTTTAAAAAAAAATTTTTGAGACAGGGTCTTACTTTGTCACCCAGTCTGGAGTGCAGTAGTGTGATCTCGGCTCACTGCAGCCTCTGCCTCCCAGGTTCAAGCGATTCTCCTGCCTCAGCCTCCTGAGTAGCTGGGATTACAGGTATGCATCACCACGCCCAGCTAATTTTTGTATTTTTTATTTTATTTTATTTTTATTACTTTTTTTTCAGAGACAGGGTTTCTCCGTGTTGGTCAGGCTGATCTTGAACTCGCAACCTCAGGTGATCCGCCTGCCTCGGCCTCCCAAAGTGCTGGGATTACAGACATAAGTCACTGCGCCCAGCCCAATTTTTGTATTTTTAATAGAAACAGGGTTTTACCGTGTTGGCCAGGCTGGTCCTGAACTCCTGGCCTCAAGTGAGGCCTCCCACCTTAGCCTCCCAAAGTG